TCATGCATTCATCACATTCGTCACATACATTCATTATGCATTCAAATATATGTATCACAAAGCATATATATATTCATCATCCATTCAAACCAATTTTCATACATGGTTCACATTCACAATCAATCTCGCCATGCATTTCTATTCAATTCAAGTAAATGCACAAAATTGCCAAACGGCCACATTTCACACCTCACAAATCACAAACTAGGATTCACGTCATACGGCTACCCACAACACACATAACAGCATATAATTAGTCATCTCAGACAAGGAATGATCGCAACCAAACCACACAACCAATCCACGAATGGAAACACAAGAAAAGAAAATATGTTGTTGTGTTCGCTAACCTTCGCCTGGCGAAGCCTCTGGCGAACCTTCGCTACTTCGTTCGCCTGGCGAACTTGCCAGCGAAGACCACTGGGAGTTATTCTGGAATTACTCGCTAGCACACTCGCCTGGGGAACCTTCGCCACACTCATTCGTCTGGCGAACTTGCCAGCGAAGACAGGGTGTTTGCTACTGACTTGGTTCGCTGCTGCTCGCTGGACTTCTCCTGGCGAAGCTTCGCTGCCATTCGCCTGGCGAACCTGCGAACTCAGAACGTCCATGGCTGTACAAAAGCCCAAACCTCACAAACTGGCCGATTTAATCCAAATCAGTTCCAGTAGCACAACCCACTCATCACCCGACTATACTACACCGTATATTCCAAATCCTAACCGATAAAACTCAGTTTCTACCGATTAAATCAACTTCCGACCTAAAAATGGAAACATAGAAAAAGATCCAACAAATTCAATCTAGCACATACATGATCATATACATTATTAAGATGATAAAACTTCTCACCCTTACTTGATTAATCGCAAGCTAAGGTTGATTCTTGATGATTCTAGGTTTTGTTCCACTTTCTCTTCTTTTCTCTCCTCCTCTTTTCTTTCTCTTGCTTTTCTTCTTAATGTTTCTATCTTTCTCTTTTCTCTCTATATCACATATTCTATTTTCTTTCCTCCCAAATTCTTTCCACACACTTATTAATTAATTCTCACAAAATATCCACTTAATATTATCACTAATGCCCAAAATACCCTCCAACCTATTTTTACCCGAAACTCTCAAAGTCGGCAAAAATAGCTCAACATGTAAACATAACATATTATCACACAAATCCCACATAAATAAAATAATCACTTAAATAAATCAAATAAGGACTCAATAAAAATGGAAATTCAGAATCGGGGCGTTACAATATGAATCATGTGATTCCTCTATATTGTTGTTGTTGAATATGCGTGAGAGGAGAGTGATTGCAGTTGATACAGAGAGTAAAATCAGAGAGATTAAGTGATTGAGAGTTGTGAAATTTCAGGAAAATTATTGTTAATCCCTGAAGAGTATGAAGTGATTAGATTATATAGAGTAGAATTGTAACCGTTTCGGGTAGAATTTGGGGCAGGTTGTTAAAGGTTAGTGTATGGTTAGATGCAATGAATAAAGTTTGTTAGTGATGTTTACAATGTTAAGTTTATGTTAAAATCAGTTAGAGAAATGAGAAGGAAGTTAGTGAGTTGTGAGAAAGAATTAGTGAATGTTAGAAAATTGTGAGTGATTATTAGAGTGAATTAGAAAGTGGCTTAGTTAGTGAAGAATTTGAAGTGTGAGTGAAGTTAATTTGAATTAATTGTAATTGTTATAATTAGTTGACAGTTGTTTATTAACTTCAAATTTAGTTGAAATTCACTTCGAACTCCCTTGTGAATTCGTGTTGTGGTTGGAGTTTGTTATAGGTTTGTTAGGATTAACTCTATTAATTAGTTAAGAGTAATTCACTTAGTTGTTAGGTTCAATTAGTTGGATTTTAAGTGAAGTTTAATTGTTAGTTTTGTCAACTAAAATTGTTAAGACTATTAACTTGTTAGTGAATTGTTGGGTTGGTGTTATATTGGTAGTTAATTTGAATTAAATTTGTTAATGGATTGTTAATCGGAGTTATAAGCTTTGTTAATTGTTGGTAATTGATAGTTAGTGAAATTGGATTCGGATTTGTGGGTTGTTAGTAAGTCTTGAGCTAGAAATTAGGTTAAATGGGTTAAATGGATGGACTTGTGAGAGGAGTTTGCTTGCAAAAATGATCAAAATTTAGCTTGTTGTTTGAATATGGCTTGAAATGAATTGGTTCTATTTTGGAATTAGGAGTGCGTGGATTGATTTGAAACTGAATTGGTGAAAATTGTTTTGAAATGATCTAGAATTAAATTTAAACTCTATGAATTGATGATGTTTTGTCCTAAATTGAATTTGAATTGACTTGAACTTTGTTCTGAAATGAATTACTATTTGTGATTGAACGTGCATGTGTTTTGGATTGAACGTTGTAGATTGGAATTGGCTATTTTGTGTATCAAATGTTCGGATGGAGTTTGAATATAGTGTGAAAGTTAGTGCATAACAATAGGTAGTGTTAACTTTGCTAATGATTGATGATGTTGTTACACGCAGTCCATCTTTCGTCTCTGCCCAGAGTATTAACGCCATGAAGGAAGGACTTCCGCAAGGTTGGGGAGAGGTAATCGAAGTCAACGCCCGGATGAAGAACGATCGACAAGGGTTGGGTTACAAACCAACTCTGGATGAAGAATCAGAAGTCAGCGGCAAGCGCCTGAAGACCCTGGAGGAGATCTTCGTAAGCATTGACGGCCTGATGTTTCGAGGTCAAGTCGTTTTGTGCAATTGGGAGGTCGTCGAAGTTCCCGTCATGTTATCGCTCTTCGAGTAATTCGTTTGTTTTGCTTGTTAGCATTTTCGTTGTTTTAAATCAATGGTCATGCCCGAGACTAGTGGATCATTTTGTATGGGCCACAATTTTGCAATTAAAAAAATCAATCAATGAATGAGTGTTTTGTTAAACCTCCATTTTGTTGTTCATTGTGTTTTATTGTTTTCACTTTTTTTATAAAAAAGGAAAAATGACAATCTTTTTGAAAACCTAAAAAGAATTCATCATATGTATCTCTTTGTGTGTGTTTGCTCATTTTAAGCCCGTTAAACGCATGCAGAGAACCTCCATCACCCGCCAAATCCGATGATCATCCAGTTCTTTATGTTTCCAAATTTTAAAAGGTGGTTGGCCATTGAAGGTTACCTTCTTTAGATAGATTGGAACAATGATAGAAAGTGAAAGAAAATGTTAGGTTTAATTGTTATAGTATGCATTGTCTTGCATATGTTGTAAGTGAGTTATGCTATCTTGGTTTTTTTTGCAGGTTTACTATGGATTTGGGCATGTCACATTTAAAATGGACAAATCATGAAAACAAAGATATAAATAATGGTTAGAGACTTGGAAGGTTGGAAGTTCAAACATGGAAGATCCTTGAGGATGTGGAAACAAGTGAGATTTTAGGATAGTCTGTTGACAAAAAAGTCAATGGTTGACCAAAAAGTCAACAATTAAGTAAAACTCAACCCTAGGTCAAAACATGTAATCTTGAGTATAATTTTGTAATTTGATTTTTTGTAATGTAATTGGGTATTTTTGTAATGAAAATGGCTTTTGAAATTAATGTATATTGACTTGTGTTTTAAGAAAGTGATTTCCCTTCCAAACATGAATTTGAAATTGATCTTATATTTGAATATGAACTAGAATGACTTCTTGAATTTGAATTTGAACATATGTCTTGAATCTTGGTATGAATTTGAAACTACACTTATTTGTCTTGAATCCAAACCAAATAACCAATGGACTAGTCTATTGAACAAGCCCATAAATAGATTAGGTCAACAAGAATCAAACCCCATAGTTGACTTTGACCAAGCCAAACTTGCAATCAATAATCAATTCCAATGTCATGATGCAATCCATAGTAACTAAAGACCATAGTCCAAGAATTAGGATTCCAAAAAGATTCTAGCCTAAAAGATGCACATCCCAAATCAATTGTATCACCAAGATTTCATAAGTTTAATCTCCAGAGAAGCGCTAGCTCAATATCAGGCATAAATAACAAGGACCTTTGAATCAATCATGCTTGTTTAAAAATGACATTGTGAATGAATGATATAAATGAATATGGCATGAGTATGCGAATGAATTAAGGATCAAGAGGTAATTGAAAAGTGAAAGAGTATGACAAATTTTAAAATATGACAGTTACCCCTATTTAATCATCTTGAACTTGAATGTATGAAAGGCGACAATTTTTCGGACATTCAAGATAGAAGAGGATTAAATACAAGAATATCCAAAAATTTGTCGATTGAGAATGGAGTGGATGTAATATAAGAAAGGTAAGTGTGTTTTAGGAAGCTTATTTATTGGGAATATGGAATGAAAAGTAGGCTTACGTAGGTTTATCTGCTCGGATTGATTGAAATTTTTTGTTGAGAAAATAGATCACTCACAAGAGAAATGTTTGATATACATAACATATGTAATGTATGATTGATTTTTCATGATGCATGAAATTACGCATTTTATGCAACAACGTGGGTTATTTTTGGGAGAGACATAAATGATATCTACAAGGGTGAGACTCTTTTCGATATCTGAACCAGAGACATTGCCACAAATGAGCGAGCTTTAAGTCAACTGCCGGAGATTTCAAATTTTATTCGTTCTGAGAGAATGACTTGTGATCTGATTAGATAGTCATTGAGATCGCATGTGAATCAAAAGAAAAATAGCCAGCAAATTGCTAACGCCAAAATGAGATTATCGCAATCAAAACAAAATACGTATAAAACGCAATGTTGACAAACGAAATTAAACCGAATACACATATTCTCAATCCAATTTCGATGCAACAATAAACAATAAACAGCAGCTCGTATACCTAATATTTGCATTAATATGCTGCACTGCGCATTTTTAGAAACCATATACTAAATAAATATGCTGCACTGCCCGTTTCTAATTTTGTTGGGTGTATACACAATAGAATTCTATATATACTAACCCTGAAGATAATTTGCAGCTTTGTAAATATCATGTAACCTCAAACTGAACAATAATCTTTCAAAACTTGCCTAGCAAGATCAACTGCCCCGCTCCTTTTGTAGATTAAATGCAGATTGTAAGCCGCCTCTCTGCGAAGGTTGCAGTAACCAGGTTTCTCATTTTCAATGACATCAATATTCTCATTTTGGAGTTTTGGAATTGGATAGTCTCTTTCGATAAAAGCAATCACCTTCTCATAGTACATCGCCGCTAGTGTTACAAAACCAACATGATGGAATGCCCGAGCTATGTTGAATAAAGACTCCTGCATGGTTTAGCAATCAATCACTTCAATTTCACCTTATTAATGAATAAAGTAAGAAATTAATGTATAAATCAGTAGTAAGTTTTTTATCTGATAAGCTACTCCAGTTATTTTAATGTGTATTTATTCATATTTGATTGAAAGTGACTCCATGAATTCAAGGATCCATAAGGTATAAATTTCAGCAGATTGGCACAAGAAATTCATGAAAGCAAACCTGACTGTTCTCACAGATCCTCACATTATTGTAGAGGAATGCAAGACCTTGTACGAGACACTGATGCTTATTTTGAAGTCGGAAACCCAGCGCCAAGTTGATCAAGGCCGTTCCTAAGAAACAATGATATATAAGAGTCCAATTTCTACTTATTCTTGGCTAAGAAAGCACTACACAAAAACAGCATGAAATGAAACAGCATACCAACACAAAGATTAACTAATGGATTCTCAGGCAAAAGTTTATAAGCTTCAAGGTACTTCCTTGCTGCATCTTGATGATGGCTATATATAGTAAACTGATGGGCGGAAATGAGGATAGGAGGCACACAATCCACAAATTTTCCTTGCATTCTACGTATAAATTTGTCGTGTCTTGTATCTCGCTTTTCCAATCTATCAACCAGGATAAAAGAAGTAAACAAATTTAAATAACATCTAGATTCTACTTTTACTTTAGGCGATAACTCTGTTATACTGCAAAAGCAAATTGAGGAGCCTAACAAAAGTTAGGTTCATCGCAACCACAAAATTACCTCGATATGACCTTGTAGTAGCAATTCCAAGCTGCAGAACTCTGCGCATTTTGCTGAACAATGCGTTTTACACAATTAAAACCTTGTTTAGGATCTGTGGTTTTGTATGCCATTTCTGTGAACATAAAACTGCTTTGTCAGCAAGATATGCATTTTCCCACCCTAGAACAACAAACTAACTTCTCTCTTCAAAATATCTAAAACTAAAGAAGGGGAAACAAACAAATAAGCAGTAAATCCATAATTTTTTTATTTCTTAAAACAAGAATAGTTAAGAAGCATAAAATCAATCTAGAAGGAAGTACAATACTGTAAACGTTCAGGACTTACGGACTCCAAGAGAGCGAAGTTTCTCAATTTTCTGAGCAGACAAAAAAGTATGAGCTAATCTTAGAGTGCGATTGATAATTTCCAATGCGTCCCCATATTTTCGCAAGGATGCTAATGCGTTGCACAACTGTACATTGACATTAAGGAGTCACACCTTAAAAAGGAAAGGTGATACAGAAAAAAGTGATAGAAGTACTAACATCAATGATTAGCTGGTGATATTCATCATCTTTGTAAAAATTGCACAGGGGAGGTTCTGTGTTTGGTACCTGGAAACATCCCACGCAATATATACAAATTCTAATTAACCATTAACATTAAAAAAAATTGAATTAGGAAGGGGCACAAATAAAGCAAGATAAATGCTGTCAAGTAGCAGTTACAGGCATAGAAGCAGTCAATTTTAATGTTATCTTACAGAGTCTAAAGGCAGCAATTATTATTATTATTATTATTAGAGTAACAATTATTACTAGGAACAGTTACGAAACTTTGGCAGAATAAGAAGGGAGACAGAACTGTGTTCTGATCATCCTAAAGTTGAGTGTTAGACACTTGGGAGGGAGAGAACCAAGCTCTCGAATCTTGGTGTGTGCCCTAATATTCTGTACTATTTTCCTATAACTATTGTAAGGTGTGTAAGCATAATATTCTGGTCTTCAAACTGTCCACCAGAATTATTATCAGTAAAGTATTCCTATTCTCCAAATTATTTCTCTTCAGTGCCAGTTTCTGTCAATTACCTGAGGCTCATCATCTGAATCATCACTTAACCAGTCAACTCCATAGGCCACTGCCTCGGCTTTTTTTCTCTCCTTCTCAATAGCCTTTTTCTGGAGCAACTTTTTTGCCCTGGAAGCTTTCAACCTAATTCAATAAAACAACATTAAAGGAATTATTTTCACCTTGTGAGCAAATGTAGAGGGCTAAGAACATGAAAAATGATTTATTAGTTTGCTTTTGGATAATGGTTTGTTTATAAATTTAGAATTAAATGTTTGTGATTGAACCGACCCAGCTTAGTGGGATAAGGCTTAGTTGTTGTAACGTTTGTGATTGAATCAGATATTAGGGGTGTGTTTGGAGTATAGTAAAGTTGGTGATTGACTAGGCAAGGTTGAGTATAGATACCATTTTTTGGTGGAGGTAGAAGCAAGGTAGAACTGCTTGCAGGCATACTAGATAGAGGACTGAATTGCAAATTATAACATTTATAATTTTAAAATCATTAGAACCACCATTTTTTATTGTTAGATGAAATAGCTATAGATTAGTGGTGCATCCTAATAGACTGAATCACAAAGACCATGTATGATGAGTGCCATGCAGATTTTGGCAAGGGGATCCTATAACTAATAAAATATAGAATATGGTAACTGTCTAACTAAGAGGCTATCTTTAATTAAATCATTTAAAAAATATTTGTAATAATAATAACAATAATAATAATAATAATAATTCAAAGATTTTGGGATTAATAAAACTAATAACTCTTATATGAAAATGATAGATATAGTAAATATCTACATTTGGAAGGACAAATTAGTGAACAAGCTCTTTAACCTATAATAGAATCCACCCATTCAAACTCAGATCCAACAGAAACAGGTCCAAAAAATTGGCACCCATAGACAGTGGACCCATTGGTGAGCATGAATTAGGGTTTCTCACTAGGCTCTAGATACCACAAGGGAACGTGAGAATAAGAAAGCATTTGAGTGAATCTGTGTCGAGTACATACTGGAGAATATTATATACACACAAATATGTGATATATAGATATAAAATACAAGGACCTATTCTATTTTATTTAATTATGTGTTTACCGCATTCAGAATCACAATGATTATAACAATTGTCAATAAATAAAAACAGGTTCTTAATCAACAGAAATCTATTAACCGCATTCAGAATCACAATGATTACAACAATTGTCAATAAATGAAAACAGGTTCTTAATCAACAGAAATCTGTTAACCGCATTCAGAATCACAATGATTACAACAATTGTCAATGTCAAAATATGAAAACAGGTTCTTAATCAACAGAAATATGTTAACCGCATTCAGAATCACAATGATTACAACAATTGTCAATAAATTAAAACAGGTTCTTAATCAACAGAAATCTGTTAACTAGCACCAATCATCAAATCAATATATATAGTTACTGTGTGTACACCAGATTATGCATGCGAAAGTACAATTAGGAATGTGATTACACTAAGTGAAAAACAACACTCACAGATCAGATGATGGAACTACGGGCCTGAATGGTAGAAACACATTATCCGTTTCTGGACACTCTAGTACCCTTGCCCTTTCAACCAGCTCGCTTCTGGAGAGGGCTCTTTTTGAGTTACCCTGCAGCAATAACCAGTAAGGTGCATTCCTTTTTTTTAGTTATAAAAGCAGGAAAAGGGAGTACATACTTGGAGGGATAAAAAATCCCACAGTATTAAAAAACAAACTGAAAACAGTAACTTCAAATAGCTCAAAAATGGAAACAAGATGGTCGATCTTACACATATTCAATCGATATAAAATGTTTCAAAGCCTGCAGCCAAAAGCTTAGGCTCTCATAATGAGTTGGTCCTAAACACTATTAAGAGTCTTCATGTTGCACATATACCTAAGGAGCTAGGGACCCAAATGGAAACAGTTGAAGTTTGTATGAATAGGGTTAAAACAAATGAGAGCACGGGATGTTTGCATCATGCGTCGTTAAGACACTTGCCTAAATAGAAGACATGTTTGCATCATGCGTCGTTAAGACACTTGCCTAAATAGAAGACGTTTCCTTTACATGATTTTATCAAATAAAATCCAACTCTCTTAGTGGGATAGGGTTTGGTTGTTGTTGTTGTTGTAAAATCCAGCTGACCATTCATAACATTTAACATTTTCATATTAACTTTAAAAACCAAAAACCTGATATTACTGACCCAATTAACAACTAACTGACAAGTCCCCGGCTGAACCTTTTTATCAGAATAATCAATTTTTAGAAGATCTAGATGACATCATTTAGTTTTTCCAACAGGTTAAAGTTGGACAGAAAGTGCATGTACACAGGTGATTGTGAGCATCCCGTATATCTATGTTCAACTCTGAATGTGCTTGTATGAAAATGAGAGTGTATGCATAAATATAGTTTCTCAAATATTACCTTTTGTTTAGGAGTTGCAACTTGCAGCGACTCGTGTACCATAGGGAAACTTACATCCACAAATTCACTGAGCATCCCTCTAATATGAAATATGTTACAGAGCTTAACTTTTATTCTCACATCAACCCACCATATATTTGAATTTTCAGAATGTGCTTCACCAGAGTCTGCAAGTACCTCGCCATTAGCATCTCCATGAAAGAACTTCAATCACAAAAAAAAAAAAAAAAAAAAAAAAAAAAAAAACATTTTTACAACTACCAGAATCCTTTGGAGGAGACAGCAAGGAAATGGCTTCAATTTCATTCCCTTCCTCAACTAGAAGTGAAGCCAAATTTATGCGCGCTTCAACATCATCTTGTAGTATTTCTAAGGCTGAAACAAAATCTTCATTAGAAACTATAGTATATGTAAATAGGTATGGTATCTTATGACCAAAGTAGTCCATATAAATAAGGCTCGGATAATCCTCGCCTCTAGAGCTAGCTCTTTAGGCTGAGCTAGGCTAAAAGCACAAATTCTACAAGAAACGTTCATTAGAAACTTCAGTAGCCAATAAAAATGTTGGGGGTAAAGAAATTTCACATTGTATTGAAAAACAAGAGGGGAATGGTTCTCATGAAGTAAATTTGTCTAAATTCCATAGTAAATAAAAATAAAACCTTGCCTTTGTAAAAGAAGATAATTGCATGTTTCCTTTCTCCCAAGGATTGATAACATCTAGCAATTTTCAAATACAAAAGACCCTGCAAGAAGGAAATTAAATTTCAATATCGGATTAGCTTGATGGTACAATAATGACACCGAAAGATACATCAGCCTTATTAACCAAATATAACTAATATTGATTTTTTCTGTATATTTTTATTTAGGGTAATACTAACTTGTGCCCTTGGGGCACAAGTTAAGAACTAAATTAAGAAATTTTGTCTTGGAAATTGTGTAAAAACTTTAATTAAAATATAAGATTAATTTTTAAATTGTTTTTTCCAATACGAATTTACTATAAGTGAGTTTCTTAACTTGTGCTCTTGGGGCACAAGTTAGCATTACCCTTTTATTTATAAGTAATTACAAGTCGAGTTTAACTATAATGGTCTATTTGCGAGTTAGTTTTTAGAGGATTTTCGAAGGTAAGGCTTTGAAGAGCTACGTCTGTATTTTATATGTATTTGATATTTTTTAAAAGTAAAATAAAAATAATATGATAATATATACTAATGTATCATTTTTTTTTAAATATCAAATGTGTATCGAAATATAGAAGCAACCCTCCAAAGTCTTCCCCATCCAAAACCTTCCAAAAACCAACTCGCAATCAAACCCTAAGAGTTTGACACCAATTGGGAGAGGGTGTCTCCTACTTATAATCAATATTCTATCCATACAAATCTACAGTAGCCTTTGATACAATCTTAGAATTTGGAATTTGACTGAGCCAATCTGAATCAACCCCTTAAAACCAACTTTGTATGGCAAGGGTTTGTCTTCCACTAATAACCAATATTAGATGTGAGAATCTCAACAAGTATATTAAATCATAATGAGCAAAATAAAGATAGAATTGCAAACAGTGAAGTATTTCATTTTATTCAAATAAGCAAATATTACTCCTCTAACATACCCTTCCTTCCTCCAAAAGACTGGTAAAAAAATGTCAGGCAGCAAGAAATATTGATAAAAGGAAAAACACAAAGGAAAGGACAAACTGCAAATTCATAATTCACATGACTTCGGAAGTAGAAAATATGAGAGGAAATTTTATTTATTGAATTGATCTCTATAGTTGTGTTCCATAACATTGATCTTCATTATCAAGATTATGATGACTAAATAATCCTTATATTCATTCCCCAACAATTAACCTATAAAATATTCATAAGAACTGCTGTACAGAAGCTTTTAGCTTGTTAAAAATATAGAGATGTCTTCGAGTACTAAAAAAGGGTGAAATTCAATTACGACCAAACAAAACTAAAACCACCAATCTTGCCAAAATTTGCAACTAGCACTAAAAACGTAAGAATCCCATCCGTCTTTCTTTGTCAGTTCCCAGAAGTCTGCAACCTGTTAATCCTAGGTCCTAGCATCTTTCCTGGCCTTCTATCAGCCTCTTCCCAACTACATATGGATGGTACCTGTCATACCCCAAATTTTACCCTTAGATCATTAGGTTTATTTCGCATTTCATTTCATTCGGCATTGCATTTTAACTAACCGCTAACCGGTTTGCTCAGCCTATTGTTGTTGCAGAAAAATCACACTGTGCGCGCTTCAATTTATGAAGGGCAAAAGAGTCATTAATGCAAAGATGGATACTCAGCCCACTGTTGTCTCTGAGATTGCCACTACTGTTGCGGATCCTCCACCGGCTGTTACTGTTGCGAATGTACCTCCTTATGGTCTTCAACCCGGTTTTGTGCCTCCTCCCGTTGCTGTTCCTACTGTCCAACCAATTCAACAAGTTGTTCCTTTGATGTCTAAAGCTCCTCGAGTGGTTCCTACTTTTGCACCAGCTACTGTTCACACTCGCGTGCAACCTTATTTCAATGAGCCTGTGTATGAGATCCTTGATGATAATGATGGGGGATACGAGCGACGTGACAAGCTTCGTGAGGAGGTTGACACTATTGACAAGAGATTAAGGAAGATGGAAGGTGACCAAGTCTTTGGTGCTGCTGCCAGAGATGTCTGTTTGGTTTCCAGTTTGGTTATTCTTCCAAAGTTTAAAACTCCGAACTTCGATTACTATGAAGGTACTACTTGTCCAAAGAATCATCTGATCATGTATTACCTACCGTAAGATGGCTGCCCATGTTGAGAATGATAAGCTGATGATTCACTGTTTCCAAGACAATTTGAAGGGTGCGACCTCAAAATGGTATCTAACTTTGGATCAGTCTTGCATCAAGTGTTTCCAAGACTTATCTGACGCCTTCATCAAACATTACAAGTACAATATGGATCTGCCTCCTAATAGAAGACAATTGTTGAGTATGTCACAGAGGAAAGGGAAAGGAGATCTATCCAGAATAGGTAACCCCACCAAGTGAGAGTACTCTTCTAAGGTAGGCAAGAGCTGATAATCTGGGAATTGCTTTCTAAGGTAGGTAAGAGCTGATAATATGGGAATGTAAAGCAATGATAATCCGGATCATAAAACTGTAACAAAGTAGAAAGAAGTCCTTCGTCAGAAAGAAGTCCTTCGTCCACTTGAAGTTTCAACACAGATAACAGCCTTCCATACTTGTTTTTGAATCCCTCTTGATCTTGAACTAAAACTCCTAACTTACTTAGGTCATCCAACTTAAGACTCTTAAAAGAATATTTCAAAGTGTTTTTTCTATTGTAATCCATGGTATCCTGCAATGTTCATAAGTAAAGATAAATTCCATAAAATCTAATGCAATATGATGCTTTATGGATGCAATGCACAAATACACACAAGCAAATGAAGGTCCTAGGTTAGAGGAACAATGAATGGAGTCAAGGTCTACCCCTCCCAAAGATATGTACTATAGGTTAGTTGTACCTGCAGAACAAGGATTCTAAAGAAGTGCCCAAAGTCATCAGTCCATCTTTAGGATATTATCAATTTCCCTATTAACTCGGTGGTTAATAATATTCTCAAGAGAATCTCTTTTGAGTGTAGTATCGCGTAGCAACTATTTTGGCAAACTCTCTCATAGTCCTCGCACTACGTCCTAGATAAGGCCAAAGTGTGGTTAAGGTAACTACGATCCCCAGTATCACAGACTCCTAGCCGAAAATAGTAAGTGTTTTCACGAATACTCGTTCAACAGAACTAAATTTCAAGAGGGCCTCAACTGAGCGGTGATTCTCAAGTCAGCTTGGTCGGGAATCATTCCCTATAAGCTTCATCGAATATATCATCTTCCTACAATAATTGCACTCAAGTCCGGGTGTAGAACTTATCTCACAACAAAGATACCCCAAGCAAGGTACAATATAATATATACATAGACAGATAATAAGCAAATAGCAAGCATGAAAACAAGATAGTTCCTGTAGAGTACTACATAAGTTTAGGGTGCTAATACCTTCCCTAAGCTTAACCAACCCCCGAACCCTAGATTTTCCCCCGCATTGTGTTTATGATGCAAAATTAGATGTTTCCTTCCTTTGACCTTTCCTTCGGATAAATTAAAGACCGGTTGTGAATCAAAGATTTGCGATTCAAATTAATTAATAATTTTATATCTTATTCTAACCGCAACAGAAAATGGCGACTTCACTGGGGAACTACGATTACTCTGATTTCATCCCCTACCTCGGATACGTAGGCACAAGATGCGAATCTTGACGAGTAAACTTAGGACTAACCCTTAGGTCTTTCTTTCACCTTCTAACCCCTAGCATATACCCTTAAGCAAATAATTTAGCAAGATAGCGACATTAAAACAAGACGTTTCTGTAGAATATTACAGAAGTTTAGGGTGCTAATACCTTCCCTAAGCTTAACCAACCCCCGAACCCTAGATCTTTCCCCGCATTGTGTTTATGATGCAAAATTAAGTTTTTCCTTCCTTTGACCTTTCCTTCGAATAAATTAAAGACCGGTTGTGAATCAAAGATTTACGATTCAAATTAATTAATAATTTGATATCCTATTCTAACCGCAACAGAACCATTAATTTGTGAGATATTTGAGAACTGTTCCATAGGATTCTCTATAGTTTAATAGAACGGTGTGAATTTTACACAGCAGACAAAGCTAGAGAGGAATAGTGGATCGAAGTATCGGCATCATTAAATGTGCAGCTGAATACTAGAGAGTAAGACAGAAAAATATTAAGGCGTCTGCTAAATCAAATTACCTGAATAAGATCAAAACAGAAAATTGCAATAGATAGGAAATTACCATACATTTTCATTTTTACTATTTCCTTCAATCATCTTAAAATAATCCAATGCAGAATTATAATGTCCAAAGCCCATTAATGAGTCTGCAACCTCGGTGATCAACTCAACATGCTTGTTTGCATTCTCTGGTTTCAAATCATTAAAGAAAACCTGTCAATCATGTAATAGTGTAAGTAATGCATACAAATTGCGTAAAACTGAAAGGCCTCATATAATTCTGTTTGCATTTCATCGTTGTATTAACTCAAGGGACGGGGAGGGGGAGCTAGAATACAAACACAATAACCTAAAATATTATTTTATTTAGTTTCACAAAAGAAAGGAAGGGATTTTAATTAAAAAATTAAAAGGATGATAAAACAAAATACAAGAAGTCTAGTTAAAAAAACTGAAACAAGAGGGAAAAAATCTCCACAACATGGAAAAATCAAAACAAAGTTACAGGAAAATGTCTTTAAAAAATTCAGACTTCGGAAGTGCCATAATCATGGATACTAACAAGTGGTATGAGAGAAAATCAAAGCCAATTGAGAAATCCCAACTCAATACCCCAGACTACCAATAAACCTAACACTATATTCTGAGGTTCAAACAAGTAATATTAAGTATGCCAATGTCAAGCAAATCAAAGTTTATTCAATTAGAAATATACATGCAATGCACCTGGGCCATTTCCATGTTTCCAAGATGAAGATGGCAGATTCCAGCTTTGACTTTCAAATTTAAGGGCAATTCTTTTCTGACCACTTGAAATTGTTCTATGTACTGAAGAGCTCTATCATGAGCCTTAATTTCCATCAATATGGCACCAAGTAGATCAACTACACTTGCATTAACTCCATCTGGTTTACTCTTCAGATGCTCTTCGAGAATGCAAATTGAGCGTTCAACTTGACCACATTTTTGGTAAAACTAAAAGAAAGCAATAAAATTCATTCAAATTTCAATATCAAAAGTATACTGTCAAATATCTATTTGCATAAAAACATATGAGCCGTTCCTTATGACCTGTATTCTAAAACATGATTCCAGCAGAAGAGGAAACAGTCTGCCAATGGTAAATAATGGCAAGACGGAACTCCAACAGAATATACAAATAATTCTGGCCTGATTTCCAGGAGTGGTTGGCCAGCCTCATTTTAGCAAAAAAAGAAATATAGTGATTTGAGGAATCATGGGACCCTAATTTTGGCCCTAAAGTATTTGAGCCAGTCCAACTTTTTCTCTTAATTTCATATTGTGATTGTGTTGGGTTAAAGCTTTAATTTCATTATTGTATAGCCTAATGCTTCATATAAAAGTTTAAAAGAAAGTGTTATAAACATAAGATTTTGCACGTAAATCAATTTTGAAAAATAAAAATTCAAATTCTCTCCTCAAACATCATCTTTCCCAAAATGGTCACCCACTACAAAGATACCAGCTAAACCTCTGATAATATATTATAATGACAAACAGAGGAAAAGGCCAATCGTTCATTTGCATCAGAATGGCCAATCGTTATTGCATTAGAAAGGCCAATTGTTTACTGCCTATGAAAATAATCATCAACAAAAAAATTAGCAAAGCATGAAATCTATAGAAAATAGAATGCATTTTCATACCAAATCCAGCTCAAAAGAAAACGACTAACCTTAGCTGCTGCTTTTAGTGCATCAATATTTTCATGCCAAAGTTGATATATTTCTTCATAAACCTCGGCGGCTTTTTGATAATCTTGACTTTCAGCATAAAGCATTGCGTGATGACTTCTAAGAATGCTATCTTTGGGGTCTGCTTTTATTGCTTTTGAAATACAATAATTGGCTTGACCAATATCACCTTGTTCTCTACATTTGAAAATGTTTTGTTAGGAACCTTTCTTCCGATATATGGAGAGAATTCCCAAAACTGGGCAGATTTGAATAAACAGAGGAATAGTTCTAACTAGAATAAAGATTGATCAACAAAATTGAGAAAAGAAGAATCATTTGAATATCTTTCTGTTACTATCAATAGAATGGGATGATAGGGTTGAAAGAGAAGGTACAAAAGGTTGATAGGGTTGAAAGAGAAGATACAAAAGGTTTACAATGATGAAGTTAGCCTTGCACTCAAGGCTATCCAAAAGGAGCATTCTCCTTTCACTCTAGAGCTATCTCTAGTCACTAAATTTAATTATTCAAAAGCTATCTTTCAGTTTCACCTCTACCCTTGAGGACTATTTAAAGACTTTTTAAGAATAATAACCAAAATTACAACTCTTAACAATCATCTAACAAAATTATCATCTTACTAACTAACTTCTTAACTCCAATCCTGACAAACTCCCTTTTATTCTAAATCCCAACAATACACCACTCCTTCAAACACCTTCTCATCAAGGTTGCAATCTAACAAAAATTGTCTTCAGGTTGCAATATAGCAAAAATTATCTTTAGGTTGCATAGTTGTTGAAAAAAAATAAAGCATTCCCCTTGGGATCCCACTATTGAAAAGAAATAAAAATTCCTCCAGGATCCCATTGTTGAGAGGATGAAGACCCCATCATATTTGAAGTGATGGATAGTAGCTGAGAAGCCCGCATCAAACAGAAATGCTGTATGTATTTTTTGGTTGGACTTGGTCAACTTAACAATACTATGGATCATTCTGTCAAAAAAAAAAAAAACAATACTATGGATCATTCTGGTTCTTGATTGTTTTCCACATAATTTCTTCTTCTGTTGTCATCCTTCCCTACATCCGTCGCGGCCACCAAGAAAAGAATTTCTGCCACCTTTTCTTTAGCCTACACTCTGCCTCTTCTCTTTATTTGCTACCCTCTTTTCTGCGGCTGCACAGACACATTTGTTGATTTACAGTGGTATATTTGTTCTGTCTTCTTCGGTGTCTCCACCAATTGCTCAGCTTCTCCATGCAACCCGCTGGCATTTAACAGTAACTTTGCATCTTTCGCTGTTCTGGCTTCTTCATCGGTGTCTGGTACTCATCTTTGATATTACTTTTTGCTTCTTGAATGCCAAATGGTGTGATCCTGTCAGCAATCTTGTTGATTGCAGATTGCAGATTGCAGATTGCAAATTGCACAGCTTGGTTGAATGCTTGACAAACTTGGCCTTCATTTTACTGGAAGAAAGCTCCAATGCTGCCACCCATCTTTCCATGGCAAAGAGTGCGGCAGGTCGGATCATTTGTTAGAAGGAACCTTTCTCCGATGTATGGAAAGAATTCCTAAAACTGGGTAGATTTGAATAAACATAGGTATAGTTCTAACTTTATTCTAAAACTCATCAACTTACTAACCAACTTCTTAACTCCAATCCTAACAAACTCCTCCTTATTATAAGTCCTAACCAGGTTCCCTGCTTAGTAAATAACCATTTCCTCCATATATAAACTGATTGTTTAAAGGGAAAGCATGCACAAACTTAGTTCTGTTAGAAAGGGACGAACTCCAACAACATCAAAAGTTTTTTCTCATTTTAGAGTAGCAATAAAATCTCCTAGAAAATGATGTAAGGTCATTGCTGTTTGATGCTGTTACGTAAAATGTATTTGGGATGAGTATATGGAGGGTTGGAACTTGGACATTTTAGCGTAAGTTTTTTCTATTGCCTAAGACTGAGAACTATTTTCTCAAAGGAGAGCCTCAGTCTAAGGCTGGTAAGGAAGTTCATTAACTAGATCTGTGTTACGTACTCTATTGAATTCTATGAAATTTCTCTTATAAATCTTATCATTGGTCTGACCTGCCAGATCTGATATGGATTGTCTGATCGCAGTAGATACTACTAGATAAACGAGTAGTATAATCTATTATACCACAGCGTGGAGTTGGCAGGCAAGATCAAACAATAATTGTGGTTGTTAAATGGGCCATGGTACTGCTGTGGTAGAATGGGGTGCTTATATGGTGGATTCTTGGCCTTCTATCATCGACAACACTGACAACAAATTAATTTTCTACAAATCATGTCAAATGACAAATCGTGTGAATCTATATCCTTACAAAACAACATTAAATTCTAATAAAATAAGCATAGTGAAGGGGTATTTTCTATGCAAAATGAAGTAGTTTTGAACAATTTTCTCCATTAATATACAGATAGAAAGTAGTACAAAATAGGATTTGTAACTGAATAACAACTGATTTATTGAATAATTGTCTGCGGAAAGGTTCCCAAATCAGAGACAATGCAAACAAACACACTTGCACATAGTCGGAATTACACAGGAAATATACAACACAGACACCTCTACTCCGGGGGTCCGAGAGCCTTGGAAATTTTTTCCAAATTCCACTCTGAATTCTAATATAGCCGTCCTTGTTCGGTTTCTTTGCCATTTATATTGTTACACAATATACATAACTAACTAGACATGATTATTTACAAACTGCTCATAAGTAACCGGCCCATAACTGATATATAATCAGTTTTGCCCTTTCCTTTTATACACATTTCGAATAGGAGGTCTAACACGAGTCATTTATTTTAAGAATACATTGCATGATGCAATTTTATCTTCTTTCATCTTTAGAGCGATGCGGCTAAATACTTCACAGGGAGCAAGTTTAAACAAATAAGAATAGTAAAAAAAAACGATAACCATCTTACATAGACCACACAAAGAGCTTTTTCCAATGTGATGAATCTTTTGGGGTCAGATGAGCAGCAATCATGTAAAAACCCATTTCTTTTTCGGTTTCCCCCAGTGCACTATAGACAAGTCCAAGGGTGTGATACGACTCAGGTAAATTTGGTTCCAGCTTGACAACTTCACGCAATACAGCAATAGCCTGCAAAAAAAAAGCAATTTATAAATAATTCGCAAATAGCTAACATAAGAGTACTAATGTAAATAAAACTTAAACAGACATGTAAACCTTGCAAAAAAAGAGGAGAAAAAAATTAACACCAAGTTCTTTGCAATTAGTTATAAATTGCTTGGTGTTAATTTTTTCTTATATAGAATTCTTTCAAGCCACATCACATCTGATGTGAAACACTTGACATATCATCTCATTCACACCTGGGACCGAATATCAAGAGTGTGACCCGAGTAGCCTAGGCATGGCAACGGGGCGGGGCGAGGACGGGTTTAAGCATTACCAGCCCTGCCCCGACCTCCATGTACCAGCCCCGCCCCCCAGTCGGGGATAACAATTGTACCCCCGCCCCCGCCCCCAACGAGGAACGGGTTTCCCCACCCCCACCCGCATAAATTGTATTTTTGTTAAAATGTTTTTTCATAGCAACAAAAATTAATAATTAAATTAAATACTTGATCATTTTAAGAATAATTATAATACTTGGTCATTTTCATTTATTTTGTTTTTTTTTAAAATGAATTATAATTCTAATAAACTTGATATCTTTTAATTTTAAGAAAGATAAATTGGTAATAATGTTATTGAAAATAAGGGTGATAAATTAAATTTAATAGGCCGGGTGGGTGTGGGGCGGGTACTAGCATCCCCCGCCCCCGTAACTAAAAACTGAGTTTTCCCCGCACCTGCCCCTACCCTCAATTAAATCGAATTTTCCCCATTAGATTCCAGGCAGGGGCGATTGAGTCCGGATTTTTTTGTCATGCCTAGAGTAGTCCGTTTACAGGTGGCCCAATAATATTTTGATAGGCTCTGAAACCGTCTTGTTAAGATAAGTATAGATTTAAGTTATATTCCGTGGAGAAAATCTTTCTATGAGATGAGGTTTGTAAGTTTATTTATCCCTATAGTCAAGTGATTTGATTATTGATTTGAATGCATTCAATTGGTTATAAATAACAAAGGTTGAGAATAGAATAATGTACCATCTCATAACGACGATTTGCATAGTGAATGTTTGCATCGCCCAACATTCGTGATATATTTTCGTCAATTTTCTTCTTTGATCCTTTTTGCCTCCCTCGTTTTTTAGACCTCTGGAATATAAACAATATTGAAAAGGTGCCATGTAATTATCGTAAAGACAAATAATCAAGTAAATACTTATCATATAATTCAGAATGTTCATCCTTTTCACATTCTCATCTAACTCGTTTCAAGGAAAAAATCTACCGAAAAAATGGAAGACCAAAATCTGACAAAGAAAGTGGCGTAGAATTGAACTAGTAAAACCACTCATCTAAGACAGAAAACTAATGAAAAAAGAATATACAATAAAAACAAAAACCAAAAATGCAGTAAAATCACCAGACCTGGCATGGAAAAAATGGAAAATCTCTAAAAAAAAAACTATTAGTCAGATAAATGTAACCGGCATGAATGTAAACAATTTTCTTCCAAAATCACAATACTGAATGTATGATTCATTGATGCCTATTCCATTGCTAGATGTTGCACAATTGTGACTGAACATGTGTACATCATACCTTTCTTGATCTCCTTCCTTGCCCAAAATTCATCAATTCCATCATATCAGCTGGGCTTACTCCAGAAATACCATCTTCTCTGCATTTAGAACCATTCAATACAAAATAAGTTAGGCATATATAAGTGAGTGCTAGCAGCAACTTATTTGGTTTTCATTCATGTAAATCAACAGTCTCGCTCCACACTCATAGCATCCGAACTCAAATTCAAGACTCGTCTTCAATAGCTCATTGGACATTTATTTCATGTTCCTTATAGGATAGAGGTTTTCTGTTTTATAATAGCTTATGGATTAAACTGAAATTCTGAAACCTGGACAAATTAGAAAAGATGGAGTTCCTTACATGGGACATTGCTGTGTTGCTTTGCGCTTTTTGCTAGCCGTAGCTTCGTACTCTAACTCTTTCAATTTCTGGTACAGTTGAACACCGGAATTGTTGTCATTTACGAAATCCAAAGGATTTACCCCGTCACAGAACCTGAACTGATCTTCATCCACCGTATCTTTTTCTCCTTCCCCTTCCTCTTCATTCTCCGATGCATTTTCTTCTTCTCCTTCATCATCTTCCACATCATTCAGTGTGCCATTATCATCTATGTCATTGTCACTGTGGTTGATTGCATTTTGATGATCCTCCTCTAACTTCTGATCAATCTCTTCCATTCTGATTTAAAACTGGACCGGAAGAAAACGACCGACGTGGAAGAAGAAAGTGGCAGCGGCGGCGGCGTGAGATTCGAATCCAATTGAACAATCAACACTGAATTGAACTAAAATCGTATGATTGAAGTGGATGCAATGAAAAATATCCTTCTATACGGTGAGTAATAAAATGAAACCCTAGGTGAGAGCTGAGAAGTTTGGCGATAAACGGAAGCGGCAATGTGAGGTTAATAAGATACGCTCAAATTCAAAGGTCTACGGCAAACAAAAAACTCATGATGCCATAAGGATTACTAGTATGAGAGTTTACAGGGAATGAAACCGAAAGGGGAGAGGAAAAAGAATTTATTTTTAGGTTTAATTGCAATTTAATCCTTTGTTTTTTTTTTTTAGTTTTGATTCTCTATTTTAAGAATTTTTTACCTAAATAACCAATATTTCACCTTTAAAATTCTAATATATCCAACATTTTATTATATATATCAATCTACTCATGTTTTACGTTTTTTTTTAATTTGTACAGGGGCGTCATGGGTGTTGGAGGCACCCTTATAAATTATAGGAGGGCGTCATCCTCTTTGAAGTCACCTTATAATTTATAAGGGGGAAGTCATCCCTTTGTAGGCACCCCTTGTGAGTTTTTTAAATTAATTTTTAATATTTAATATGTTTAAAAATATTTAATAAATAATATTTAATAATTAAAAAATATTTAATAAATAATAATTTTTAAATAATATTTATATTTGTTAACAATTAATAAATAAATAATAATTAATATTTTCATTAATAATTTCTAAATAATAAATAAAAATAAAAGTGTATTTAATAAATTAAATATTAAATAATAATTATAATTTTCATTTAATCACAAATTGGTACATATGAGAGATATGGTACACTAATTTTTACGACTAGGTCGGTGTAAATGTTCGCCCGTATCGCATCCTCGATTACGTACATTTCTTGGTGTCTTTGTGGTGGAGTCGAGTCCACCGTGTCGTCTTCAAGAAATTGGATCATTTCGGCCATGAAAACGAGTTCATCTTCGCAAAGTCATCCAAATTAAAAAGGTTGCTCGTGTCTTTATAATTATGTTGGGGTGGTTGGCTCGATGAGGCAATTTCAGGACGATAGTCTGCCTGATCGTAGGGTGACATCGGTGTAAATGTTTGGGTGGGTAAGGGTTGATTGGGTGTATGATATTGTGTGTTAAATTGGTTTGTTGTATCACAGGAGTATGTTTGGTATGGTGGTGGATATTGTTGGTATTGAGACTGTGAATAAGTTTGTGTGAATGGGGTGAATTGGGTAGGGGTATGTTCATGGATTTGTGGTTGTGTGTGTAACACCCCGTTCCCAAAATAAAATTAAACAATCAAATAAAACACATATCAGAGTTTCTCTCCCTAACGGGATGCCACAATACACATCAAAATTTCCACAAATATTTTTTTTCAAATAATTTAACTGAATTTTTCAATAAAATTGCAGCGGAAAAAGATATGGTCTGCCATAACACAAAATATCATATACATACATCATCCATATCCATCATCATCATCATATATACAATAACGGCTATCTGCCTCAAAATACATAACATCATCATCGATCAACATCAAACATCTCACAAAATATCATATACGCCACGGGGGCACACATATCAAACATACACAATAATACTCCCAAAAACGCCCCGGTGTTATGTATCAGAGCAGTCATACGGAGATACCACAATCCAACTAGCTAAACACCTGGATTGTCTGTACTTTCGAAGAAGCACAGACCACAACAGTAACAAAGGGGGTGAGAATTACGATTAAATAATAATGGTATAATAGTACATGAAATAAAAGGCAGAAATCAATGATAATACTATTTCATATACATATCATCCGGACTCACGGTCCCCACTGTCAACCACAACACACAATCATGCAACAATGCACTCACACAACTCTTAACATGCGGTACTGACTCACAATCACGATGGGCACCGGGCCATCAACCCTCCACACAGGAGCACATATCAACGATGGGCAACTGGCCATCAACCCTCCACACAGGAGCACATATCAACGATGGGCAACTGGCCATCAACCCTCCACACAGGAGCACATATCAACGATAGGCAACTGGCCATCAACCCTCCACACAGGAACACATATCAACGATGGGCAACTGGTCATCAACCCTCCACTCAGGGAGCACACCACACTGATGGGCAACTGGCCATCAACCTTTCACAATGGGAGCACCACAACAATACTGATGGTCACTGGGTCATCACCCTCCTCTACGGGAGCACACAACCATATTCACACACATCATACATCTAGCACACCAAGTGCAAATCGGTCATATTTATCCACCCCTCACACAGTATATATATATATATATATATATATATATATATATATATATATATATATATATATATATATATATATATATATATATATATATATATATATATATATATATATATATATATATATATATATATATATATATATATATATATATATATATATATATATATATATATATATATATAGATATATATATACACACGACGCACAAGGCGTACCGATCCCACGGATCCATTCCCATCATAAAATACATACATAACAAGCACACAAAGTGCGTCGATCCCACGGATCCGCTCATCACACAACTTATCACATACAATGCACACAAGGCATGTCGGTCCTACTAACCCAAATACATCACATAACAGCACACAAATACAACGCATAATAAGCGTATTGATCCTCACATCTCATACACAGCACACACATGGTGCACACATCTCACGTACACATCCACACTGGTTCATACATAACGCATAATTCAACGATTATGCCACTTGCGATAAACGCCGGCCAAACAGCCCTACAACCACCAACATACGCTCGCATCAGCTCTCCAGCAAGCCTCCCATCGCACATGACCAACGAGGGTCCAAGTCCACAGAGGAACAACACAACACAGCAGCAAAAACACAAACTGCTGTCAGCCTCACTGGCACATTCGCCCGGCGAAGCCCCGCAGGGAACACTCGCTGCCATTCGCCTGGCAAAACCTCTGGCGAAGCCAGACAGAAGCTTCTGTCAGCACTCGCTGGCTAGTTTGCCCAGCGAAGCCTGGCAAAGGCTCGCCCCTCATTCGCCCAGCGAATACCTGCGTACTCAGAAAAATTCTGCCCTGCAGAGTCACCTCCCACGCTGATTTCGTCCGATTAAATTGAAACCCACAACCAACCACATACTGCAACTTAGTTACGGGGTCTATTCCCGATTTTATCCGACAATTCATCAACTATGCTCTCAATACCAACTTCCGGCTCAACTTCGAACTTAATCGAAAATCCCAAAACTCATCCCATTTAACATCCCCAACACATGCAACGATTTAAACATCAAACAACACAACAATATCAGTAACAAGAACATGCAATCAACCAATTCATCATCAATATTTCATAATCTCATACATGGGGTTAGGGATTCCCCTTTCTACCAACATTCATGCACATACCAAAATAACTGTTAAATCCCCCTACCTCAAATTCGATTCTGAAGTTGATGAAGCACCTAAAATCTTCACGAATCCCGCGTGCTCTTGCCTTGCTTCCCTTGATCGCTTGCTCGCTTACTTCTTCCTCCCTCTCATGTTCGTACGAGTTCTCTCCTTTCTCCTTCTCTTTCTATTTTGCAAAAGACCAATTTACCCTCAATACCCCCAAAATCCTTTTTAATCCAATTAACTCCTAATAATATTTTCTCATAATACTTTTATTCCAAAAATCCATTTAAATTATAATTTTACTCATAAAGTTAATATTAGTAATAAAAATGATAATAATTAATAATAATATCACATTACTATTAAATATCATATTTTTATCACTATATACCAATATCATGAGTTCTTGATCCTTCAAAATAATCCTCAAGCACATTCTCAATTAAAATAATCCCGAAAACCAAAAATAATTAAAATGGGCGTTACAACTCTCCCCCACTTTAATTATTTTCGTCCTCGAAAATACCTGATAGAAACAGCTCTGGATACGCTTCCCGCATCCTGCTTTCCAATTCCTAGGTCACACTGTCACCTGCAGCACCTCCCCAAGCCACTATCACCAAAGGTATCTCTTTTCCTCTAAGTCGCTTCATCTTGCGATCCTCGATCCTCAACGGCAATGTCTCCACAGTTAGATTCTCTTTAACTTGGACTTCATCCCTCTGAATCACGTGAGACGGATCGTGTACATACTTCCGAAGTTGCGACACGTGAAACACGTCATGCAAGTTTGAAAGCTCCGACGGCAACGCCACCCTATAATCCACAGTACCAATCCGCTGCAAGATCTGATACGGTCCGATAAACTTCGGATCCAACTTTTTGGACTTCAAAGCACGTCCAACACCCGTCACTGGGTTAACCCTCAAGAATACATGGTCACCCACACTGAATTCCAACTATTTCCTGCAGTTATCATAATAACTCTTCTGCCGATCCTGAGATGCTTTCATCTTTTCACAGATCATCTGCACTGTCTCAGTAGTCTGCTGTACCAACTCTGGTCCCAAAACCACACTCTCACCCGACTCATACCAACACAAAGGAGTCCTGCACCTCCTACCATAAAGAGCCTCAAACGGTGTTATCCCGATACTGGAATGGTAACTGTTGTTGTACGTGAACTCTACCAAAGGCAAATGAGTATCCCACGTACCACCTTTCTCCAACACACAAGCCCGCAACAAATCCTCCAAAGTCTGAATAGTCTGCTCCGAATGCCCATCCGTCTGCGGATGATAAGCTGAACTCAGCTTCAACTCAGTACCCAAAGCCTCTTGTAAACTCTTCCAAAACACAGAAGTGAACATCAGATCTCTATCCGACACAATGCTTAACGGTATACCGTGCAACTTCACAATTACCCGAATATAAATCTCTGCCAGCTTCTCCAACGGAAAGCTAATACT